GGTAAAAAGTTCTGTTCAGATATTCCTATGTTGACAAAAACGGACATTTTGGCAAAAAACAACAAAGAAAATGCAGATTTACTTTTGCAACAATTTCTGACCAAATTCCATCACAATTTTGATGAACTTGACTCTCCAAATATTCCATCAAAAACAGATCAAATCTTAGAAAGTATTGACTTTTCAAAACAAGATGTTAATAAAATTTTGTGTGACCTTAATACTACCAAGCAAGGTGGACCAGACGGAATAACAAATAAAATGTTGAAAATGTGTTGCGACAGTATAGACCAACCATTATTTGATCTTTTCAAAAAAGTTATAGAATTTAACACATTTCCAAGTTCCTGGAAACTAGGAACTGTCGTTCCAATTTTCAAAAATAAAGGTTCCAAATGTGACCCCAAAAATTACAGACCAATTACTCTGTTAAACAATGTTTCAAAAATATTTGAACGATTGATATACAACAATATGTTCAAATATGTCATTGAAAACAATCTGATCTATCAAAATCAATCCGGGTTTCTTCCGGGTCATAGTACTGAAAAACAATTAATAACAATAGTAAACATGATTGATGAGCAAATAGATAATAACTGTGACGTCAGAGGAATTTTTTTAGATATAGAATCTGCGTATGACGCTGTTCCGCATTATTTGCTGTTAAAAAAGTTAAAATCATATGGTTTTTCTGATACCATTATTAACCTGATTAAGTCTTACTTGACAAATAGATGTCTCCAAGTCAAAGTAAATGGGGAGTTCTCAGAACGTTCCCCAGATGCTTTTATCAACAGTTCAATACCTCAAGGATCAATAATTGGACCACTTTGCTTCCTCCTGTACATAAATGACCTTAATGAGGTTCTTAATCATAGCCAATTATATCTTTATGCTGACGACAGCTCCATCTTTTTTCCTTGTGACAGAAACAAAAATATTTTTGATCTCCACAGAAATTTTCAATCTGACATAGATAAACTTTCAGAATGGTCCCTTAAATGGAAGTCAATTTTTAAACCCTCAAAAAGTGTAGAAATTATTTTTAAGGGATCAAGAAAGAAATACCTTCAACACCCGCCTGTCTTTTTAAGCAATGAAAAAATTAACAGATCAAGTGACCACAAACACTTAGGAATAATATTAGATGAACACTTATCTTTTAGGCCTCATATACTAGAAACTACTGATAAATGTAACACAATGTTAAATCCTTTGAAAGCTCTAAAAAACAAAATAAGATCAAAACATTTAGAAAAAATGTATCTGTCATTTATACTCCCCAAAATGGAATATGGAAGTATTTTATTTGAAAAAGCGACTAAATATGACCTTGCTAAACTTGATCAGGTGCATTATAGAGCTGCCTTACTAATAAGTGGGTGTATTCGAGGAACGTCAAAAACTAAATTATTTAAATCATTAAATTGGAATGAACTGTCTACTAGAACAGATGAAAAATATTTAAAGTTAATGTACCAGGTTAAAAACAAGACTGTCCCCTCATACCTTCAAAGAATTTTTGACCAGCATAGAAATCCGGTACAAAATGTGAATCTTAGAAGGATTAGACATTTTACTGCCCCAAAGCCAATTGGCTCCTTTTCCAAATCCCCAGTTACTAGAGCAATACGTTTATGGGAAAAGCTCCCAACTGATCAAAAAGAAAGTAAAAGTTTTGCTAGTTTTAAGAGAAGTGTCAAAACTCATCTTAAAGATAAAAATTTACCATTACCTACATCTCAGTTAGAACTATCACGAAAGAGTGAAATATTCTTAAATCGTATTAGATGTGATTTTATTTTCTCTGGCCATTTTTTCTTACATAATTTTAGAGATGTAGAAAGTCCAAAATGCTTATGTGGCTACAGACAACAAACTTCAAAACACCTTATCTTCAATTGCCCGCTGTTAGTTAAAGAAAGAGAAGAACTTTGGGGGGAGCTTAGGGTGATGCCAGAACTGAACCATTTCTTTTTAATTGGATGCACTTTAGAACAAAAGACCAATACACTTTTGTTTGGAGATAATTTAGTGAATAACAAAATCAAAGGTTGTGTATTTAAGATTTTTACTAACTTTCTCTGTAAAATAATGGAAATTATTTGAATTATCAATTTATAACATTTAATCAGTTGTTTCAACAAAAAGCCATCTGTAATAATTTGTATGTTGTATTCTCACAGGGCCAATAATGCTTTCGCCTAGGCCCTGTTAATGTATTATATATATATGATTTCAATAAATGAACCATAAAAACTAAAAAAAAATTAATAACTGTGCGATAGCCCTCTATTGTACTAACAGACAGTTTATCAACACTGTGAAGACTAAGTAAAAAGTCTGCTACTATGGGAACAGAGGCTTTGTTGGGATCAACACCCCTCTCAGAACACCAAAGGATGAATTTGTTCCACTTGGCATCATAAACCTTGTTTGTTGATTTCCTTCTGGCTTCTGATGCAATTCTGTTAGACACTGCTGAAGAAAATCCTCTCTCAGAGATAGATTCCTTGATAATTTGCAAGCCTGCAGATGAAACAAGTTTGGGTTTTGATGAAAAAACCGACTTTTGGGCATTTTGAGTAGATTTGTTCTTGTTGGAATTTCTCTTGGAAAGTTTACCAGAAGATCCAACAAATCTGGAAACCATGCTTGATTCTGCCATTTGGGAATCACCATTAAGGCTATGCAGTTGTGACTCCTCAACTTCTGTAACACTTGTCCTATCACTGGTGTTGGTGGATAAAGGTACATGAACAGATTGTCCCAGTTTAGTGTCAGAGCATCTACCGCCAAAGCTGCTTGGTCCAACATTGGAGAGACATATACTGGCAGCTTGTGATTGTAGCGAGTTGCCAACATGTCCAACTGAGGGGTCTCCAAGATTCGAAACATCTGTTTGGTTACCGATGGATGAATCGACCACTCTGTTGACACAATCTGATCTCCCCGACTTAGAAGATCGGCTCGGCGATTCAAACGGCCTGGAATGTGGCGTGCTCGAAGACGTACTTGGAACTGATTGACCCACATTAGTATCTCTCGTGTCAGCTGGGTTAACTCTACCAAGTGTGTACCCCCTTGTTTGTTCAGGTAGGCAGTGCTTGTCGTGTTGTCTGAACAAATGAGAACCATCTTGCCTTGTACTTGTTTCTGGAAATGAAACAGTGCTTTTTGAACTGCTTTTAATTCCAACCAATTTATGTGGAATTGGGATTCCGACTGGGACCAGTTGCCAGAGCATTCCTCCAATTCCAGATGTGCTCCCCACATCTGAGTCGATGCATCTGTAAAGATGGTCGCTTGTGGTATAAATGGCTGTAAGGTCACTCCTCTCTCTAGATGGCTCCGTGTGTTCCACCAGAGAAGGTCTTCCCTTGCAGGAGAATCTACCTTGATTAAGGTTAGTTTCGAATCCCTGACCTGTGACCACTGTTGATACATGCATCGTTGTAGGTTCCTCAAATGTAACCTGCCTAACGGTATTTGTTTCTCTGCCAAAGTTAATAAACCCAGGAGAGACATCCAAGATGCTGCTGGGGCTTGTTGTTCTGTTAGAAAAATCCTGGTTAAGGATAGGATCTTGTCTATTCGTCCTTGAGGTGGATAGCACATCCCTTCCTTTAGATTCCAGTGTACTCCTACATAGTCGAACGTTTGCATTGGAAGTAATTGGGATTTTTTGTAATTGATCAGAAATCCCAGATATTCTGTGATCTTGATCACGATTTGTAGATGTTTGGTCACTATCTCTGGAGTAGAACCCCGAATTACCCAATCGTCTAAATAGCGATGAATGTGAATCCCCAGTTTGTGAAGGAAACTTGCCAGTGGTTCCAAGATCTTTGTGAACACCATCGGAGCTGTTGAGAGTCCGAAACAAAGAACTCGAAACTGGTAGATTTTCCCCTCTACTACAAATCGGAGATATTTCCTGAAGGACTCTTTCATTGGGACATGAAGATAAGCTTCCGATAAATCGAGAAGAACTGCCCATTCTCCCTGCTGAAAAGCTGTCATTAGTTGATGGATTGTCTCCATCTTGAATTTGGGAACAATCAACTTCTGGTTGAGAGCCCTCAAATTTATTACTGGTCTGTCTTCTCCGGACTTCTTTTCTACTAGAAACAGGTTGCTGTAGAATCCCAGTGTATGAGTGTTGAGTACTTTCTCTACTGCATTCTTCTGAAGGAGGTCCCTCACTACCTTCTTGAATCGAGCTGACTTGCTCGGAGTTGAAGATTCGAACTGACTTGGTTCGATTGTCAAAGGAACTGATGACGTCAGTTGTGGGATATATCCTACTTGGATTATCCTTAAAATAATTGGATCCTGTGTAATTTCCAACCAATTGTGGATATAGTTTCCGAGGCGTCCCCCCACTGGACCGATTAACACTTGAATTGGAAACGGAGGGACTGACAGAAGTAAGTCACTTCCTGTAGGGCCTTCCTCGGGCTGGTCTTGAGTCCGAGTTGTTCTTGCTTCAATCGTTAAACTTCTTGTTTGACTTGAAGTCTCGAAAGGATTGGTTAGACTGTTGTTTGTTAGGCCAGCCCTTGTTATCAGCCTTATCCTTGTTTGCTGATGCAATTCTGGATTGGCGTTGTCGAACTTCTTTATTCCTAGAGGCTTTGGAGCTTGACTGTGCTAAAGAAACCAGTGCTTGATTAGCCATGTTTGAAGTTGCTGCATCAACTAATTCTTTAACCTGTGTCTCGGGGTAAAGAACTGTATCTCTAGGATCAATGGGTAGTATCCTCATAGGTTCACGATAACGTGAGGGGACATGAGACTGGATAATATCTCTTTTCAAAAGTGTAGAATTAGCCAAAGTCTTGAGTAAAGTTTCTGTAGCAGCAGAAGTTGCATCGGAGGATCGAGTTAACATTTCCCTAATGGATTTAAGTAACAGATCTAATTCAGGGTCTTGATTAGTAGAGCATTTTTCAGTAAGCTGAGTGATGAGTTTACCCAAAGAACCTAAATACCATTCACCATGAATAAGAGGTTGTAGACATTCTCATATTTTCCTCTAACTGACTCCAGGATTTGTTAGATAACTTGGTATCAGGTTTACCATTGTCAAAGAACTCATTAAAAGTCTTGTCATTTGGTACTAGGTTTGCTAAAGTAGAATTGACAGTATGAGGTTTCAGAATGGACTCATCTACTTTTGAAATTTTAAACCTTGAAGTGTTTTTTACCCTGAAAAAACTTGTTTTCTTAGCAAAGGTAGACTGAGGTTCAAGTAGTTTGGAATTAATGTCCTCAACTAGTTGATGAAAAATTGGAGGACAAGGTAAACTATTGACTTCTTTCTTATCTTGTTTATGTTGAAGAGCAACCATAGATAAAGTTTCTCTTTTTGAATCCTTACTACCCTCACCTTCTAGAGCAGAAATTGTAGAATCCCACAATTGTCTAACTAAACTAACTGTCTCAGATTGGGAAGATCGTTTATCATCCTGTTTATCATCATCAGAATCTTTAGAATTGTTCAACTTATCCAAAGAAAGAATACTTTCATTTGCTGTATTAACAGTGCGCATGCGTGAAGAATTTATACTTCCGGTTGACGACTTAACTGTGGAATGCTGAACCAAGTGACCAGAACGATGAGGAATAGAGTGACCAGAACGATGAGGCATAGAAGGACCAGAACGATGAGAAATAGAGTGATACTCACTTCGAACTGGAGATCTAGAACGGCCGTATGGACTCCGGGACCTACCAGAACTGGACCGGAAGTTAAGACTCCGAGATTTATAGGGTGGGCTCCATTTTTTCCCGTTTGTGAATTTCGAAATGACTCTTCAAGACGTTTATTCACTTCCTCTTGAATAATATTACGAATATTATCTGTGCTAGTAACAGTAGACTGTAAATTGACATCGTTGACCACAAAATTTGACAGTCCTGAACCTAAGTTTGCAACCGCGGCCACGTCTGAGGCCGGGTTTTCTCCAGTAAAATTACTAATTTCACCTTCTTCATAGCCTTCCATTGCTAGAATATATATAATTCTTCAATCTTATCAGCTACTAAGCGATAACAACGCCAGTTTCTAATAGAATTGAAAAATAAGAGACTTGAAAAAGAAAATCCTCTGTTCCATTCGAAGGCAAGATTTTTTATGAATATTCAATGAGATAGTGGGCGACACCTATTGGGTCACTACCAGGGACTGATCATTTTGTATTTATTTATTTTTGGGGACTTGGCTCTTGTTCCAAAAGGGGGGATTAAGCATATGTCATGGAATAGGTTGGATTGTATGTAATAGGTATTTTCAATTTTCTAAGAGCCACAGGGGCTAATTACAGAGAATATGGTAATTGTTAATAACACATTTTCATTCAGCAATTTAAGTTCACATTTCAAGAATGTTCAATTCGTTAAACAGATATAAAAATGATGAGGATTAATCGGGCAGCAAACTAAATAATTCAGATTTGTAAACTTTGAGTGAAGATTTGACAAGGCCTGCAAGTTTACTCTGTAGTGTTCTTCAAATAAAATGGATTAGCCACTTTCGTGTCTATGTGCAATTGAAAACATATCAATCAAGGTGATTAAGGTGTTTTGTAAGATAGAAAATAACACAAAGTGTTTTGTTGGAATATCTCACTGATGCTTGGTGGAATGTTATTATTGTTAAACATTTGAAGGAGAGCCTAACCATATCTGATGTACTTGTCAGTATGATGGGTAAGGCAACAGAAGATGGGAATGAAATACAGTAGAACCTCCTCTTCACATATATATACTCTTTTGACTTCTGAATATATTAGCCTCTCTGTTGTGAACACCTACCAACACTGAATTTTTTCTTGGCAAAAAAATGTTCAATATACACAGGTTCCACAGAATTATAACTGCTACATAAATGTCCTGATGATGTATTATACATGTAAGTATAGTTATATAAACCATCCACCTGCTAATGGGCCCTCCTAAAATGACACAGTAAATTATAAGTATAGCATATAAACCCTCCACCTCCTAATGGGCCCTCCTAAAATGACACAGTAAATTATAAGTATAGTATATAAACTCTCTACCTCCTAAGAGCATAGTAATATTTATCCCACCGAACGAAGTTCAAGGGGGATATAGAGAAGCCATCTGTCAGTCCGTTCGTTCATCCGTCCGTTCGTCCGTGTGTCCGGGCGATAACTCCAATACGGGTTGACGGATTTGGTTCAAATTTTATAGGCTTATGCCATATGAGTGTAGGACCTCTGCTCGAGAAGGAATTTTCAATATGGCCGCTCAATTCAAAATGGCCGCCATTTTTCGTAAAAAATGTAATCATTGATAACTCAAATACAAGTTGACAGATTTGGTTCAAATTTTACATGCTGATGCCTAGGGACAAAGGAGTTTCGCACAAAAAGAGCTTTTCAAGATGGCCACTTAATTTCAAAATGGCGGCCATTTTTCGTAAAAATATGTAATCTTTGATAACTCAAATACCAGTGAACGGATTTGGTTCAAATTTTATATGATGATGCTTAGGGACACAGTAGCTATGTTCTACAAAAAAATTTCAAAATGGTGGCAATTTTTCGTAAAAAACCTAATCTTTGATAACTCAAATACCAGTGAACAGATTTGGTTGAAATTTGATATGATTATGCCTAGGGACACAGGAGCTCTGTTCAAGAAATAATTTTCAAGATGGAGGCTGAATTTCAAGATGGTGGCCAATTTTCGTAAAAAAAGTAATCTTTGATAACTCATATACCAGTGAACGGATTTGGTTCAAATTTTATATGATGATTCCTAGTTCACAATGGTATAAACTAACTTTGTGCCAAATTTCATGCTTCTATCACAAAGTGCACAAACATTTCAACATTTACACTAGCTATAATAAGCATAATATGTTTTGTTCGGTGGGATTTGCTACTCCGTGGAGTTGCTGTTTTTCTAGTTGATCTGGCTCCCTATCTGGAGCAGTTTTGATGCTTTCACTTAACCTTACATTACAACATGCAACAATGTTCTGAATTATCACCCCGTTGAGAATAAAGGAAGAACTTTTCAATTTCCTATTTAGGTCAAATTGACCTTGTAGTGTTAGTTTCCAACTGATGTCTTACCCAGTAGCAGGCAGTAACATTGTGTTCATAATTCTTCTCTGAGGCAATAAAACATAAACTCCACAGGTGTTGTTGTTAGTTGTTGTTCGTTGTTTCCTGTTGTCGGAGTCTCTTCAAATTATATGTTGCAGTTACAAACTTACTAAACACATAACATTGTGTAAGAGCATAATCTGAATGTATACCTCACATGTTCTAGTACTAATTTTCTATATACGGTAAAATCTATATATACGTACATAAACAGTCAGATCTGAATTCCATTGCGACAGGCAAAAAGTGTTCAGATTGTCAGGTGTTCATGTTCTTTTCTTAGAATAGATCCAAAAAGTGTTCACATGATGCAGTGCTCAGATAAGTAAAGAGAGGTGTTTGAATATATATGTTTTACTGTATTAGTGCTTTGGTTTGTTGAAGAGAGCATTTATTGATCAGCTTCTAATTCACATTGCTTTGGGGTTTCTTGTTTGTTGCGATTATATCAAGCTGAAGATCAGTCAAGTCATTCATGGTGCACTTCAGTGAGGATATTCAATATAATTAGGAGAAAAAAAACAAGCTAAGATACACAACATTATCAAGGTCTAATGAGGTCGATAGTTAGCCTACTTCTGTAGTTGATAAACAGGGAATATGACACTATGGGTGCCTGTTGTTGAGGATGTAACAAGGCTCTCATGCTGATTATTTTTTGGTAAGTTGTGAATGTTTTGTTGTAGTAGATAGCTTCCCATTATGGTTGTTAATTGATATTGCACAGGAGTGAGGTGAAGATTTGTTTGTTGAGGACAAGGTAACCATTCATTCAGATGTAAGGAATAAGTTACACAGGGGGTAATAGCAGTGAGCTTGTACATATAATTGGAACACTAGATGACGGATCATAGAAGAAAATCTATAAGGTAATGTGTTTAAAAGAGATATGAGGCTATATTCCAACAATTCTAGATTGATTTAACTCAATTAGATATTACTATAGTATATTACTTGTACATATATATGTTGATTCATTCATATTCTGTTTTTGTATGTTGTTATTAAAATAAACATATTAAATCTGGGGTCAAGTATATTTCAACCATAATTAACCAACCTTTGTCTTTATTAAGGTACACATTAAATAAAGGTAGCATTAAACATTAAGTGTTGATTACATTGCACCACTAAGGTACCCTATTTTATTCACAGGGAAAATGTAACAGATCAGGATAGGAATGGAGTAATGATTTGTCCAAATCATTATTGCCATGACAACCAACCCAGAGAATCCCATGATAATTTGTTATCCTGTAGCAATGTCAATAATAGTAAATGACAAAGTTTATAAATATTTAACAGCAATATTTTGACGATGTCAGTTATTGCATGCAAATGTCAATATTATAAATACATGTACAATGTATTACACGCATATACATGTATATAAGTGGGATAAATCTCATGAAATCATCTTTGATCATTCTTTCTTGGTATTGTTTAATCAACTTTGCTATTAATTTCATCACTTATTGGCTTCACTCATGCTGATATTGTTATCAAATTGATAGAAATAAATGAAATAACTCAAAATCATTCATCACCTACTTATTCAATGATTTGAGTGAAATAACACACTTAACCCTCATTGGATTTCTTCAGGAAGATTATTTGAATGCAGCAAATGTTTTGCTCAAGAAAGCTTATGTTGTTTATATAGATCTTTAACATTCAGATAATCTTCATTTATGCAGACATTTTCGAAAGTTACTACAAATATTACAAAATTTGATTCCAGCTTTCAAACGTCAAAAACATTTAGCTACATAAAAGTGAGTCTCAAATAATATATAAACAATCAATCAGTATTTCTTAGATTCTTCTCATGAGTGTTATACGAGGAATTATTATTGTAGAATATAGGGTATTATGTACTCAAGTAAAGTAGACATTTTTCTACCATTTTTTATTGATTTCTGATCCTTATTATAGAGATATAAACCATCTTACATACATACCCTGAAGAATTTTATTGAAGCATTGGTTTTTAGAGACAAAAACATTTTTTGATGTATCAGGTATATTCTATTTGAAATTTTTTTCAACACAAAATGGAATAAAAGTGCAACACAAATAAGAATAAATTAGAACAAGAATCATATGGCATCAACATTTTTATTCTCTAGAGATGTTGATATAATTTGCTTTAATTGGGTTTTCACAAAATGTGTTAAGAAATATTCCAGTGATCAAGTACATTTTATACTGTCAAAACATTGTACAAACAAGAATAACAGAAAAACATATTTCTGAACAATTCTTTTTCACACAAACCAGACATGTAAGGTACTTAATACAGAGGCTAAATAGGTTAAGTATACAAGTACTTATCATTCATGTTTGTCCAGTAATGAATTTAAAACAAAATCATGTACTTTACTTTACAGATTTGATGATAAAATTGAATGCTTCAAAGCTGTATAACACATCACCATTTTTTCATATTTCACCACATTTTAACAGAGACTTATTGTAGATAAGATCAGACCTAACTTAGTTGCATGAAATAGCATCTAATACACTTTGGGGATATCAAATTTGGGAATGTTTGATTTACATTGGCACTCCACTCTCAAAATTTATGATAATGCGATGACTTATGAAAGCACTTTTGACAGTAAGTCTATATATTAGCTGGTCCCTTTCAGTAATACATTGAATATGGTTCTTTGTATATACTTTGTTGTCAAATATGGAGATACCTTAAATACAGTAAAACCTCACTTATCTAAGCAGTAAACACTTCTCAAAATGGACACTCTTTTATCCCATCTTTAAATCTGCCATGATATTCCATGTTAAAAACTTGAAATGAGAACACCTGTCAATCTGAACACTTTTGGCCAGTCCCAGTGGAATTTGAATATGACAGGTTTTACTGTACCTATACCCGATTTACACAATTTAATAAAACTGTTTATTTTTTCTTATCTCGCTGTATTATATTTTAATCAGACATACTTCAAGATTTTTATTAAAAGACTGAGTACCATTTAGATTAAGAGAGATAGTAACTAATACTAAACTATACATTAAATCAAAGGTCGCTTGAAAATATCAATATTTTTGTCAACATGCGAGACTTGTAGAATGTTGGACATATAAACACTTGAAGGACACGCTGCTAATAAGAAGAACTGA